CAAGAAATAAGGACAAGTAAAAGGGTTAGAAATGCAAAAGATTTTGGGCTAGATTTCTTTATGTTTCTTATGAAAGGCACTGGTGAAAGCATAAACAATAAAATTACTTATTGTTTTAATGCGAATTTTGATCTTGTTACACATGAAGAGGCAATGAAGTCTCAAGATTTTACTTTTTGAAGAGAAGCAATAAATGATGAAATAAACTCAATATTAGGAAATAACACTTAGATTTTGGTTGACCTTCTACCAGGTTTTGATTTAATAGGCTACAAATGGATTTTCAAAAAAAAAAAATGAAGATAGATGGAACCATGGATAAATTTAAAGTAAGGTTGGTAGCCAAGGGTTTTACACAAAAGTCAGGGATAGATTACTTTGATACTTATGCTTCAGTAGCTAGAATTACTATAATTAGGCTTATAATCTCACTTGCCACTATTTATAATTTGATTATACATCAAATGGAAGTAAAGATAACATTTTTAAATGATGAATTAGAAGAAAAAGTATATATGGAACAACCAGAAGGATTTATCATTTCAGGTCAAGAGCATAAGGTTTGTAAGCTTGTAAATTCCTTGTATGGACTTAAGCAAGCACCAAAAGTTTGATGAAGTTATTCTTACTAATGGTTTTAGAATTAATGAGTCAGATAAAGGCATAAATAGCAAATTTGAAAATGACAAAGGAGTCATAATTTGCTTATATGTGGATGATATGCTAATATTTGGCACTGATTCAGAACAAGTTATGAAAACAAAGAAATTTTTATTAAATAAATTTTCAATGAAAGTATGGGTGTAGCGGATGTTATTCTTAGAATTAGAATAATTCAGATGATAATGGCATAACTTTGTCATAATTGCATTATATTGAAAAAGTACTAAAAAAGTTTAATCTATTCAATTGTATTCCAGTATCTACACCCATAGATTCTCAATTGAAATTAGTATCTAATATTGATAGAATAATTGATCAGTTGTAATATGAAAAAGTAATTGGTTATCTGATGTATGCAATGACTTGTAGAAGACCAAACATAGCATTTACTGTTCAAAATTGAGTAGGTGCACAAGTAATCCAAGTTACTTACATTGGTAAGTAGTTAAAAGAGTACTTTGATATTTAAGAAAATAATCAACTATGGATTGTATTATAATGGATATCTTTCAGTTATGAAGGATACTCTGATGCTAGTTGAATTACTAATATGGAAGATCATGTTTCTACGAGTGGGTGGATCTTTGTACTTAGTGGGGGTGTCATTTCTTGGGGTACCATAACGGATTCCGCCATGGTAGTTGAGTTTATTACATTAGCCGCAATAGCTAAAAAAGCTGAACGGCTAAGAAATTTATTACATGAAGTACCAAAGAAGCTGAATGACTAAGAAATTTATTACATAAAGTATCTTTATGGCCTAAACTAATTTCCCTAACTTTTATCCAATGTGATGGTGAAGCAACTCTAGTAAGGACATATAGCCAAGTATATAATGGAAAGTCTAGACATATTAGATTAAGACATTGCTATCTTTGATAATTAATTTCAGATGAAGTGATTACTATAAATTATGTGAAATCTATCCGATGTGATAATGAAGCAACTCTAGTAAGGACATATAGCCAAGTATATAATGGAAAGTCTAGACATATTAGATTAAGACATAGCTATCTTTGACAATTAATTTCAGATGAGGTGATTACTATAAATTATGTGAGATCAAGTGAAAACTTAACAGATCCTTTAACCAAAAGTCTTGTTAGAGACTTGGTAAAAAAAATTTCAATAAGGATGGTGCTCAAGCTTATGAAATAAAATAACTCATGATGGAAACTCAACTCAACGTTTAGGATAACGTTAAGTTTTGAGTTCAATGAGACAAAAGTACATCATTTGTATATGATTACTAGAACCATAGTAATATTTAATGCCATCCTAGGTATAGTGTTAGGTACTTATAATGGTCAAATAAGGATGAGTAATATACTCTTAAAATACCCATAACATAAATGTGTTAGAGTGTTATAGTTATTGGAACACTCTTAATGAGAGTTACCTATGTGAGTGTGAAGTGTGGCCGTTTCTAGAGCTTAAGAACTTGGCTTTAACAACACTTATGAAAAAGGATGCAAGCACATGGCTATAAATGTGTCATCAGATACTAAGCATTCATTGGGTGTAAAAATCATTATGTGAGATAAGTTTAGTTAACCAAGTGGAATAACTGGTTTAAAGCATGGTCTACCATACGATTTTGGTTAACTTTAACTTGTTTTCACTAAGTGAAGGTTCAAATCAAAATATATCTTCATTTAAGCAATTGATTTTCAAGGTTATAATAAATCTAGATTATTTTGAAAATGGTGGGGGATTGTTAGAGATTTTTAAAATAAAATATGAAAAATAATCTCACATTAGAAAAAAATTGATAAAATAATCATTTAAATTAAGAGCAGTAAAAGTCCACTATAGTTGGACTTAAGTGGCTAATGGACCATGGGCTTGGTTTTCCAAGCTTGGTTGATCTTGCATTAATTAAATAATTAATATTTATTAATATTTAATTAAAGACACTTACACTTGGCACTTGGACATGTGAAACTTGCAGTACAGTAAATAAAATATTATTTTATTTAAAGTTTATAAAATTTTATTTTATTTAAAGCTTATAAGTGTTTAATTAAAATTCATCCAAAAATAGACAAAAAAAATAAGAACAAATAGTTAAGTTTGTATATAATAGACAGTTAAATTTGTTCAAAATGAAACAATTTCAACTATTTAAAAATAAATAATTTTTTTAATTCAAAATAAACAGTTATGTTTGTAGGAGAAAGAGACACTTATCTATTTATATAAAGCTCCCTTGGTTTTTGGAAAAAAAAATCAGAAACAATTCTTGAAACTCTCCCTCTTTCTTCAAACTTCAGATTTCTTTTATAAAAGTTTTACTGTAGAAAACCTTTATAGAAGCTCACTAATCTTATGATATGTCAGTGAATGCTTGGTAGATTGATTTCATCAATGCAAAACGTAGTTAGCGATTGGATTTCATTATATCTTCAAGGTTTATTACCTATAACCCTTTTGCATACCTACTAAGTAAATAATACGGTGAGGAAAAATAAAACCTTAAGGAAAGTGGCACCATTACACGTCTCAAAGCCTTTCTTCAAATTTTCAAATTTATCAGAAGCAATAATTCTAAATTTTTAGTGTTTCTACTAACACTACTTAGACAACTACAACTACTTTCATCACTAACAACTTCGTTAGTGCTCCCTCTATAGATGCTTGTCTTCCTACTCACTTTAACAATTTCACCATATTTTTTGACATTATTTGTATATTTACTAACTTCTTTACTGATGAAACTTTGTTTGGCTTCAACATAAAGTGTGCCAATGCACATATTATTTGAAAGACTAGGACAAGCACTTGGTTCAATTTTTTCAAATTCTAATGAACCACTTGAATTATAACTCATGATCATTATTGGGATATTTGATAGAAAATTTGTTTTCCACTGTTAAAATCTTTTTCTGGTTAGAAATAAGAATCTCATTTTTCCCATTGATTTAGATATCCCATTATTGGAATCAAAATAGTGATTTGCCATAGTAGGTAATTCTTCAGGTTGTATGTTGTCATAGACTGTTTTGTATGAATGCTTTTGATAGCCAATAGAACCATTAGGATGTCGAACAATCCTTATGCCATGATTAAGAGTAGGTACATAGGATGTAGAAAAGGCCTTTCATTTCTTGATTTTTTGGGAGATGGAGGCCAAGAAGGCCTAGAAGTCCTAAATGTTAAAGTATGGTTATTGTTACTTATAACAGAACTAGGATTTTGTCTCTTTGATGAAGAAAGTTAAAAGATCAACTTTGGTGGTGATGTAAACTTGTACTGATGGTGGTGGTGGTGTGGAGATTTTGGTGATTTGAAGGTTGCTATTATGGATTGATTTGGGTTTAGAAAGAGAATTGATTTGGTTTTAGGGAGAGAAAATGAATTTTTAAATATAGAGTATGAACTTTTAGACAAAAAGTATGAATTTAGATGAAAAATAAAGAAACAAAATAGAAAGAGTAATGATTTTAGGTAAAAAAATAAAATAAATTATAAGGTAGTTAAGTATCACATTTTAAACTTCAATGAGCACTTTCATATCAGCCTGAACCATATGGTATATTTATGACGTTTACCCTATTTTTGTTTATTAAGGTATTTATATTACTATTTTAACAATAAATATAAATTAAAAATATTTTTGTTATAATTTAGTAATAGATAGTTTTAATATAAAATATAAATATTTTAATAATAAACATTACTATTTTAATTTTAATAAAAATAATATTTTAAGAATAGTAATGCTATTTTAAATATTTTAAAATATTAATATAAAGAATAATACATAATTTTGTTTTAAGTATTTTTATATTGATATAATATTTTAATATTAAATATTATTATTAAAATATAATTATTTTTGAATACTAATAATTTTAATTAAATAATTTTAATATACTTTAATAATAAATAAATTTTAATATGTTAATAGTTATATTAATATTATTTAAAAAAAATAGATTTTTCAAAAAACAACTAAATAACTTAAAATATTTTTTATTAATTCATCCAAATAATAAAAATATCTACTTTTTCAAGAAATATATATTTTTAAAAAATAATTTCTAAAAATCAATTTAAATGAAACGAAGAAAAACTTATATTTAGAATTTCAAATTATGTATATATATTGTGTCAACATTATCACATATGCATGTTTGTTAATATAATCATATTATGTGGATATTGGCATCACATACAACATGCTTCATCAACATTCCCTTAGAAAGTAATAGTGATAGTGATCAAAGGAAAATTTTAACCAAACATTTATTACTAAGATGTTAAATTTCATAATTAATGATCAAAATAAAAAAATTACTCAAAATCGAGTCACTATACGTGCATTTTACCCTAAAATTAAATGGCTTTGAAAGAAGGAACCGTAAGAACACAAAGTTAGGACTGGTTCAGACGCCTACCTGACCCCTCCCGACATTTGTGCCTCTCTCATTTATATTTCATATATAATTCTTTCACCAAAACCACATCAAAACACAACACAAACGAGGCAAGTGAACCCCCTACCACTTGGTTATTAATACACTACTGCTCACTCTTCAATCGTCAAACTTCAAACCCTGTATCTCTTCATCTGTCCTAATAACCCCACCAAAACGCCAACTCTTCCCAGTTTCCTCTTAGAATTCTTACTTTCTCTCCTTTTAACATAAAATCCCCCTCCCCCCACTCTGTAGACCAAACCCTTTTCAGCTTCTTAGCTGTATCTCCTCCCAAAAATTAAGACAAGTACAACTCGTTCTTATATAATTCCCTTTTATTTATCAACTACAAAGCCAGACTTCTCCTTCAGATCCTCACCCAGACAAAGTCAAAGAAGAGAAAGATGAACAGTACTTTTGATTCTCAAAGACAAGACTCCTTGAAAAGGAGATGGCAAGACAGAAGATCCCCCAACATCAACACCTCCAGATTTGTTGGTACTGTTGCTGCTCCAATCCCACCTCACTCTTCTGCACCCTTAATCTTGTCTAACCCTAATAACAGCACCAAACTCATCCAGCGTTTCCCTGGTCTTGATGATGAGGATCTTCTTTCCAGCGTCGTGCCCCCAGTGACCGTGGTGCTTGAAGGCCGTTCGATCTGTCAGCGCATCAGTCTCCATAAGCATGCAAGCTACCATAGCCTTGCGAAGGCTCTCAGGCAAATGTTTGTGGAGGGAAACGATGATGGAGCCTCCTCGGAGAATGACGTTGATCTTTCCAATGCTGTTCCTGGTCACATCATTGCCTATGAAGACATGGAAAACGATCTTCTTCTCGCTGGTGACCTCAATTGGAAGTACGTTTTCAAGCATTACAGTATTCCTCTTTCTCTTAAACAATTACTACATATTATTTTAAAAATTTCCAAAATTTTTAATTGTTTTATTTTTCTATTTTTAGTATGATTAAGGGTTTTAATTTTTTTATGTATGAAAATGAACAGTGATTTTGCACGTGTGGCAAAGAGAATTAGGATACTGCCAGCGAAGGGGAAGGGAAGAGGAGGGGCGTAGTTGGTTGGGTTTTGGCATGTTTTGACAAGGAGCACATGCTGTATTTGCGAAGGAAGAAGTTATATAAGTGAAAATATAATGAAATTAAGCCCATTTGCAATAGGATTTTGAAATATCCGAGTCCTTAGTTGGGAATGGATTTTATAGTTAATTTCCTGTATCCTTACGAATAAAACAACTTTTTCCATATCATTTCAAATGTATGGATCGACTTGTTGTTTAGGGTATGAACAGAAATCCTAAATTTAAGTGCCCAATTTGTGTAAGTTTGAAAATGGTCGTGAATAGAGACAAAGTTCAATATTGTCCTCTTAAGCTTATTTAATTTCCTTACACACATTGTCATTAATTATAAATGTGAACCAACCAATTTTTGGACTTCTAGACTAAGGTATAGTCTAGCAATAGACACCCCATTATACCTAATAAAAATAGCAGCCCTCCATGCTAAATGAACTGCAAAGGCCGCTTCCTAGATTGTATTAATTTTGTTATATATATAAGTAGAAAGAGAAAGAGAGGTTTTTAGATTTGGAGTTGGAGAAAAAAAAATCAATAAATGAGTTCAGCAATCATCATAGTACTCCAACTGTATGTAAATGCCTTAGGAAACAAAATAACTTAATTTAATATATTTAATTTGATGAGTTCAATTTAATGTATTTAGTTTTATCTACTTTTTTCTGTTATATTTATGTTGATTAATAAGAAAAGTATATCAATTGGTAAGTGAATCTCCATAATAACTTAATTTGAGTTTATCTAAATGATTCAGTCATTTTTTTTTTAAAGATGGATTACAATAAATTTGAAATTCGATTGTTAGTACTTATAATTTTTTTTTCAATTACCATTTGGATCTTGATTTTTTTGTAAAAAAAATTGAGGGATAACCAATTTACCAAAATGCATATTATAATAATGCATTACACACAGCCCCAATTGGCCAATTGCCACTTGCGGCTGTTTCCTAGCTATTAGCCATACATATTATGTACCTTCTTAATTAAGTTACATCAAGTTACTTTCTTTTATATATATATATACAAACTCAAAGAAAAGGTGTACGCAATTTGTGAAACCTAGTTAATTGTAGAGTTGCCCTAGTCGATCGATGAAGATAATGCTCTTCCATTCATTAACTTGGACTTAAAACCACCCAAATGATTTTTAGTTATAATAATTGAGATTTTCCTTTTAAAAAATTGAGACTTTACATTGATCAGCTCGACTTAGAAAATTTAAACTAGAAAATGTGGGGGAAGGATCTATGTTACACCTTATGTCATCTTGAGGAACATACGATAAGTTTCTTCTTTCCATTCCTTTACCCTTTTCGTTTGATATGAAAAAGGGCATAAACTAAATTAAAGATAAAGAAAAATTTTTACTTAATTATTTTATGTAATTATTTAAAAAAAATGACATCTAATAGATTTAAACAGTGATGAAACTAAAAATTTTATCTAACGAGATTTAATTCAAATATATTAAATTATAAAAAAATAATAATAAAAAATTAAAATTTTTATATTTTATCATAATTATTAAAAATTTTATAATTATCGTTGACGCTTTTCATATTATGAAAAAAATTATACAATAAGTTTGTTATCAATTTTTTTAAACGCATAATTTTCAAATGTACATAATTAAACTATCATTTAACCGTTGGTATTTCATTTGATTATGAACATGAATTTTTAAAATGTTTATTGGTGAAAATACTCTCTCAACTTTGATACTTACAAAAGATAGAATTAATACTAATATCAACAATAAATAAATTAAATAAATAAAAAATTTTTATCTACGACTAAAGCATACGAGTTTGTAGTTTTGTGGACTCAGTGGGAGCTTGTCCCCATTGGGCACTATAGGGCGCCGCACTTGAATCTGAAGTTAAATTTTCAATACTTACAACATCTTCTTCTATCTCATGCCGCAAACTTCAAAAAGAAATTAAAGATAAAAGAAGGTCATGTTGAATCTTGAGTTGTGAACCATGCACCCCGTTTCAAAGTAATGTTGGTTATAATAAGGTATGGACCCTCTTCAGATGCCGTTGGTTAAGGCACGCATTTCCTGTCTATTACTGATGACGAGAGAAGGATTTCGCCACAATTTGCATCAAAATTATATATATATATATATATATATATGAGGGATCAATTTATATAATGTAAAATTAAAAAAAATTTACATATTTTTCTAATAATTGATTTTAATAAATCTAAGGGATAAGATGAAATCATTTTTACTTATTTTTGTTTGTTTATCTCATCTTTTAAATTTATTAAAATCAATGATTAAAGAAATATATAAAATATTTTTAGTTTTATATCATGTAAATTGATCATTTCTCATATATATATATATATATATATAAGAAATTAATTATTTGAGATACTAACAGTAGAAACTTTTAACTTTATAAGTGGAGTTAGAATGATAACATATGTCTCATTTTTTTCTTTTTAAATATACACAAAAGACATGTGTTATCATTTAATCTTGTTTATAAAGTTAAAAAATTTTATTGACAAAGTATTTGATTATATATGGTCTGATCTCTTCTCTCTTGTTAGTTGTGGTAGCCATTACCATTAGAAGTAATCATACATGGCATGCATGTTTAGGCTCAATTTGTATTTGCATGCTACATGCTATCAAAATTCTTATCACTAGTTTTCTTTTTCACCTTTTTCTTTTATTTGGATACATAAAATTTACCAAACTTTCAACCATACAATAGAACTTCAAAAATTTTACGTTTCTCAGGTTCTAAATTTAAAACCTTTAAATTAAAATTCTAAAATCTTAACTATTTTGATATGTCTCTCGTCTTAACCATCACTTATTCACTTCTAATAATACAATCGATATCACATTAACAAACTTGTGTTATGTCGCGACATGAATATGTGTCTTGTATCAAAACATAAATTAAATTATGCGATCTTAGTCAATTAATATTTTTATTAGTTGATATAATATTAAAATTAATATTTAAAAATTATGGATTAAAAGGAATTTATAAGTGTAAGTCATCGTCAATCAAATAAATATAAAAATAAAAATTTCAAGAATAAATTAAAAATTTTAAGAAAAATTATACGATCTCACATGAGAACCATCTTTTAAGTTGACCGTTAATTATTAAAAAGACAATAAGTTGATGGTATTTGTAATAAGTTGATATTACAATATTATTCAATTCTTTATTACATGGCAAAAACCGAATTCACAATTCCTGCCTCAACCTCTCGTTAAAAATTTTCCAATTTAGAAGTCTAGTGGTTTTACGAAAGAAGAAATAAAAGAAATTTTAATTTAAGGATTGAACTATAAGTTAGTACAAATACATATTTTCATCTTTTACATGGAAATATCAAAATTTATAAGACAGCATATTGCCATTTTTCAATTTTCTCAAATTCTTTTTGACATCTAATTTATTTCTCGTGTTTTGTCCCATAAAGATTTCAAGTAGAAAAAAAATTGGAGACTTGGTTATATGTTGGATTAGAAGAGTGAAATTGTCATTTCAGTCATTTCATATTAACCCAAAATCAAGTATAATTATATTTATTTATTGCCAGTTGGCTGAAAAAAATTAATATTATAAATGATTTTTGAATTATAATAAATGTTCAATGTGATATTTAAATTTTATAAATCTTAATATAATATTATAAATCTATTAATTAATATGATATTTAAAATATTGTTTGTCCATTATGTGTTATTATTTACAAATCATGTTAAAAATGAGTACCTTATTAATTAAAAGATTTACCGTTGTGATATCAAATTAGAAATTATCAAAATTTAAGAATCACAATTAATATTTTCATTATGAATACTTTACTATAGTTTAAGGACTATTAGTAACATTAACCTAAAAAAAAATTACTTCTTCCATTTGTGAAGATACAATTGATATAATTAAATATAAACTCGAATAAAATATAAAATTTAACGTACATATATAAACTATAAGGTTCAGGAGGCGTAGTTAGGTTTCAAATGAAGGCAAACCCCACTCACTTGGGTTGAAATCTGATAAGGAGCTCAGAACTTGGTCTGCTATTGCATGGTGGGAGCTGTCAAGCCTGGGATCCGGAACCATAACCACAGACCTACAGAGAGCCAAATAAAAGCCGGAAGGAACTTAGAGTGGTCAGAAGGAGCACGACCGAAGTATTCAGTTGTACACAACCTATAAAGCCTAAAAGCTAAACGATAGATTAGATTAAGGGAAATATATCTTAACACAAAAGAAATGAGAAAAAAGCTTTGTTAACAGATGAAAACATCAACATAAAAGAACATAAAGAACAGAAAACTCAACAATCAAATTGAAAATCCCAGAAGTAAAAATTTAGAGCATGGAACACATGATAATCATTTGCACTAATAAATCAGTAAAACAAAATTCACTTACATCCCAGCATTTTTGGCTGCAAGAGCTCCTGCAGGTGCATCTTCAAACACAAGAATTTTCTGGGAATCTATTGGCCCACCCTGTTAATCCACAATCTCTCTATCACTTGTTATATACCTTGACCTTGGACAGTTCAAAGGCTAGATAGAAAGGTAGCTTTTGAAACAAGAAGAAATTCAGGACGTTTGCATTGAGAAAACTGGGAAGAACTCGAGGTTGAGAGAAATTGGCAAACTCCTCTTATAAGGAGAATAAAGTGAGAAGAGAAAAAAACACTGCCAAAAAGCTTTTTATTAACACTATTTTAGTTCCTTCGAAAGTTGAGAAATGCAGGTAAGAAAGGACAATAAGATTTTTTATTTTTTAAGCATTTTCTGAAATGAGGTGAGCCTTGGCACAACAATAAGGTTCCTCCATTGCAATTATTTCATAGGTTAAAGCCATAAACAGCCTCTTTGAAAAGCTTGGTAATGCTATGCATATTTGACAGTCCCCAGACTTTCTGCAATGCATAGGCCTCATGCACTAGGCAACCCTTTGTTATTTTTTGAATATGGCACTTATGATCATGAATAGCATATTGATATAAAATTCCTATTGTTGTCCAATTGCCATATCTCTCTCCTTATTAGTTCTATCAAATCCAAACAAGCAAAGGGTGTGAACTTCAGTTAAAAT